CATGTAACAATGCACAATGCACCCTGAAGCTTGCTGTATAAATGATTTCTAAATTGAAATGCAGATGTTAAACCATAAATCATATCGCACAGAACTAATTTTTTTATTCAAACACACAGTAATGCAATAATAAAGGAATATAATACATCTATAGGTGAAAAAAGTGGCATCTGCAATAATTAACAAAGCCATTGCTACATGGCCGTGCCCCAACCAATGTCCAGGTTGTGTCACTGTCGTATGTATTGGACGAGGTTGTCCTCTGTGTTTGATTCCAGAATGAAATTGGAAGCTGGCAGGCATTCGGTGTATCCAATCTGCACTTGGCAAGTAGATACACTGCAAGTCAGGTCGTAAAAGACCTTGTTGCTCTTACAGGTAAAGCTAGCTGAAACCTCTCGAACGATAAAGTCTTTATTTTCATTTTTACACTAAAGTGGAGTATCTCTGTATTACTCTTGCTGTTGCAAATCACTAAAATCTGGCCACGGCAGCGAGTCAATCATTTGCTGCCACTCACCATTCTGCAAACTTGTACAACAGATTCCACAACAGGGAACATTTTTAACACATAACAACTTCTATCTTCATTAAAGAGTCTCTGTATTATATCCATCTGCATCATTGATAGCTGTGTGAAATGTTTAATGAATATAATCACACATGCAGTTCTGGGTCATTATTTAATATACGTCAACGCCAGAGAATAATCATTCTCGTTTTACTAATAACACTAATTCAATAAAAGGAAAACTAGTCGTGACAATTATATCAATGGATCACTGAAAAGGAAGTATGTGGTGTGACCAACATTTTCGAACATCAAAACTATTGTATTTAAAAGATTTTAATGTGATCGTGATTAAAGTTTAAACAACTTAATATTGGACATGTAAAGACAGTTAATTGTTTGGAACAATTCATAAATGAACCTACCCATTTCATGAACCAGTCTGTTACACTCATACAACTTACATTTGTATGATGCCCCGACCTTGTTTGTTCCTGATGTGTGTACAACAGATTTTACAGCCGCTAACATTATTTACACATAACAACCTGTACATTTAATTGTAGAGTCTCTGATTTATTTTCCTCTGCATCAGTGACACATGTGTAAAGTGAAATGATAACAATCCCACATGCACATTGTGGTCAAATGGTAACAATAGCCTTTGTCCCGCACATAGACTAACACCAAGAGCATTGACCTGGAGGTCAGAGCATTATGTCACCTTCAAGACAATGTGAGACAAGTGCTGGAAGGAATATTCTGGCTGTCGACTTGCTGACCTCAGTGTGACCAGAAAACCAACCGAATCGCGATTGCATGTTCTTTAACTGTTAACTTATTGTTTGGGTATGTTTGTCCTATGAAGTAGATGATCACTATAATTTACACGCTTTGTGTAATCAGGCCTCATTAGATAGATCTTGTGTGTTAACACTGAAGTCTATGGACACAGAAACAATCCTTGGTTGTAGAATAACACCAGCTATCTCTGTAAAGAGCGGAACTGACTGAGTCAGTGAGTGTGTATGGTTTTATGCCGCTCTTAGCAATATTCCAGCAATATCACGGCGGGGGACACCAGAAATGGGCTTCACACAACAACGGAACTGACATCCCTTGTGTGCATATGTTTCTACCACTACATATTCGTCTAACAAGCTTTTAAGAACCAGTGTCTCACCGTACAACCCAGATAATATGATGGTTTATGTCCTACCTGGCAACCCAGCCACTATTGTGGTTTATGTGCTATCAGACTATACATACAATGTGGTGTTTGATGTCTCACCGTTGATGACGTTGACTGTATATTTTTCAGGACAGACCTCGTGGTAGGTGACTTATAATCGCCAGCCCTTCCAGCCTCGGTTGGATTGAAACATTCACCGTATGGTATAGCATTGATGGTAGTCTGAATCTCTCGCCCGTGGTCCCATGCATTGATGAATTCCTTTTTGCCCCAGACCAGACTGTCTATTGCGCTTGGCATGCGTGCAGATGCGCTGATGAAGAGTTGGCCCACTGACATGGTGTAGCGTCCGTTGTAGGCGCCCAAAACGTATTCCAGCAGGTGCTCGTACTGCCCAAACTCCAGGAAGTGTTTGATGGCTGTTTTGTAATCCTGTCCAAAAGCCCGGGAGATCTCAGCATGCGTAGAGTGAGTGAGTGAGTGGTTCAGTGAGGATGTTTGTACCACGTTTTAGTCACATCCTAACAATACATCGTTTGGGGACTCGAGAAATGATCTTCACATATTGTACCCATCTGTGGAATTGAACTTGGGTGTTACCCGTGATGAACGAAGGTTTAATCCATACGCTACACCATCGCCCATACACGCTTAGACCAGCAGTACCTGGAAGCGAGACACACAGTTAAACCATTCAAGGTTGAATGAAATATCTGTCTGACTTCTTTGGTATTCTTCTTTCCATAACTTCATGATAAACTGAACCTTTGCCTAAGAGGTGTTTTTTCGAAATATGAACATATTTGTACTCTTCTTAGAGAAGAGTCATCTGGCACGGTCAGAGTGAGGTGAGAGGGTTGTACCTCTTCAGATACTGCTTGGAGTGGAACTGCCCGGACCCCTGTCTTCCCTCATCAATGCCATGGTTCAGCCAGTGATCCTTGTCGATCTGGGGTGTGGCCAGCTGACCAAGGTAGGTGTACGCGTTGACGTAAAACACAGGGTCAAACACCAGCGGGTGGGCGTAGTCAGGGTGAAACAAATGTGATCCCATGTGGACATCTCCTGCGTGCAATGATGTAGTCCAAAGAAGCAAGTTAGGTTTCATGTAGGATTATTATATCATGAATGTTATGAGTAGTATTTATACAGGGATTCAGCCGTCGATGCAGTCTACGAATAACCTAGTCGAGACCAGGGAAACCAGACTGAAAACATGAGCAACGATCCAGGACATAAGTGATTCAGCCACGTCACTGACCACCCGATACCCACTGTAGACGTCTACTCCTGTGACAACCATGAGATCCTTGGGTACCATTCTGGGCCGGAATCCCCACAATGGCATTGTTAGCTTTTACAAGTCTAATTCTAGAGCAAGACAGTAGACAGTTTCAGTATATGATTGTCTCCCTGTCCCCGACAAGCATTTGTTTATCTACATCAAACATGCGCTCGCATCTGGTAAATGTCAACGACATCTACCGTGGCTTAACTGAACACCTCACTCACTCACTAACTCACTCATTAATTATTTCCCCTTGAAGTGAAATACCATACCATTAAGGAGCCAGTTCTTCGTCAAACCATTTGAAGGACAACATTGAATATAAAAAATGTCGTAAATAAAGAAATACTATTCACGACACAACATTGCTACTTACTTTTGCTTAATTTCCTGTGCACGTGTAGTACGTTTACAGGTTCAACTTTCTGATTTCTACTCGTCTCTCCTTAAAATCCAACGTGTCCAGTCTTGACATTTCCTTGCCACGCCTGACCCATTGTGTCACGTGCACTCGCAATGGGCTTCTCACGGTTTCAAAACAAGCTCACCATCAGTGTTTAAACATGCTGAGAGTGTAAGTGAGTGAACTGGGGTTTATTCAAAACGTCAAGGCCAGAGAATAATCGATGTCCAATATGGGCTTAAAATCAAACAAATGATACACCATTACGACCCTCACTCACACTGCGCTCATTAAAAAAGAAAGAACCCTTTGCTAATGGTTCATAAAAACTCCTTATAAAGATCATTGAATGGGATAGCATCGCACACCATGATGACAAGCGACATGTTCCATTTAGTAAATTCATCTGAATGCATGTCCCCAAATTCCTGCAATAACTTAACCAGACCTTTGATGGTGAAACCTTGAATAAAAAGCTCAGTTGTGTCTTCCCAAGAAATTAAACTGTAATGAGATGTAGACACCATGAGCTGGAGCTGATGGGTCATTGCTCGACATGAAAGGGAGAATGGAATATCGAAAATCATCCCGTTTGTCATACAGCTTGGTGTGGTAAGCCAGTTTGAATATTGTTACGAAGCGCCATTATTGAAGGAGCATCTAAGTAACACAGCCAGTAGTTCAGCCAATGGACCTGCAATACATACCAGGTAACAGTCAATGTGGGTGTAAAATGGTTCATTCCTAATGCAACTGATTTGAACTCTTGAAAGTTGAAAATACGACGTTTTTATTAATACTTTTATCTCTTATTAAGTGCCTGATTCCTAAAAAAATACTCTGAGTATATAGCACCCGCATGTCAACTTACTGTGGGTCGAGGAGGAAAGCCAAAATTGATGGCTTCATAACAGACATTTTGTTGTTTTTGATTGTTGGTTTTGATTGTGTTATAAATAAACTGATTTTGAATGTGTCAAGACCCATGCAAATCCATTTGTTCCACATATATATTGGGCTACATATTTATTATATTCTGTATATGTCAATATAAGTGTCCTTGTTACTGATAGAGCATTGAAGGACCATCCCAAGTGAAGCCATGATGTCGATATATGTCACCTTGTTACCTACAAAAGAACCCCTCGAAGATCCGGGTAAGTGTTCGTCTTCATTCTTGTCGTAAGAGGAGATCGTAACGGTATCGGGTTGTCAGGTTCCCTGACTTGGTTGATGAGTGCGGCCATAACTTACACAAACAAAGCTACACAATATGTGTGTTGAGAATACATGGAATCAATCAGCAGAAAGTATACCCATTCTGCCATCCAAGAGTCAGCCATTAGTTGGTTGAACAGTATCCAAAGTCAAACTGTTGAGTTTCAGTTTAATGTTAATGTAGAAAATGCATGACTTCAGTTCTCTGATAGATATGAGCAGCCTAAAGCATCGATACAAATCAAGAACAGTTCTTGTATGTTTTCATTTATTGAAATACTCTTTCCACTGGATAAGTTGATTCTGGTGTCTGAAGCCAGGTTGCTCCGATTAGGCCCCATTACACCAGGACAGTAACTCTTCATAACCAGGAAGTGCATACGTATCTTTAACTGTTCAGTGAGCTGCACGAGACACTGGCGTTATTCATGCGACCTCTCCGGGGTTCAATCTTAAGTCTGATTTCCTCCTTTGGAGCCAGCCGACCATAAGCTTGTGGGTTGAATTCAATCACTGCCTGTAACAAAGGTCACACAGGTATATATGAGTCACATCTGTTACCCTGGGATAATGGTTTAACCGTATACCTGTCACGACTTACCATGTTAGTCACCACACATGTCCTATCGTATGTAATGGACACGCTATCATAGGTTTGGGCGTGTGTGGGTGTACGTCTTGGTTTGTGTGTGCAGGTGAGGATGTGAGTCTCTGCATTCTGCTTAAAGGGTGTGTGGATGTCTTGTCTCCAGTTTGGTAAGGAGAGATGCAGTGGTCAAACATTCTGCCCATCTGCAAGTGCAGTACAATATTGATTAGGAGTAATATGCGCCTATTACGCTCTCAATCGAGGGGTTCAGGTACTTACAGGAGTGTCAGGCAGTCTGGCAAACTTCACCCTTCTAAGGACATGGATCAGCGCAATCTTCATCTCAATCATGGCCAGTCTCATTGCGATACACTGGCGTGGACCGTAGCCAAAAGGAAGCCACGACAGAGGATTAATAGTCTCTTTCCATCTGAAGTAATAACACATCCGGATTCTGAATCACCTTATGAGTGCTGATACACCTTATTGGCATGAACTTCCCCTTGCGCCAACTCAACCCCTACCACTCCTCCTCCTCCTACTACCACTACTGATACTATTAGTACTACATCTACTTCCAATACTACTGTTACTACTACTACTACTACAACTATTTCTGTTACTACAGCTACCACTACTACTACTACTATTACTAGATCTCCTACAACAACTACTACTACAGCTACTGCTACTACTACTACTGTTCTGCTTCCTCTGCTATGATTTGCCTCTTTAACCGGAACAGAAAGTCTTGAAAATCCAATTCTATCAGTTTAAGTACAATTATCCTTATCTTGAGACAACTGCCTATTGTGCACCTACCGATCAGGATTAAACGAATCTGGACGATCAAAATATTCTGGGTCTCTGTGAATCTCCAGGGTTGGGACTACAACCACGGAACCTTTAGGGAAAGTGTAGCCCTTGATTTCCACCGTGTTTGCAGTTCCCCTGGCTATCCTGAAACAAAAACATCAGATATAGTTATTTCCTCAACCAGTCGTGACAAGATTGAACTAAATATCAAATGTTGGGAGTAAATGAAACATGTGTATATGATGAACAACAGAACAGAAGTCATTGTTGATGGAACAAAACATGAAACGTTGAGGAGAAATGTGTGTATTTATGTACAACAGAGCGAGGCTCATGGGTGTTTAAATGATAAAGCTATTCAGTTATAAACCACATACGTCATACTATTCTTCACAGGCCTTCTTACAGACTGGTTAGAATTTTCATCTTTAATCTTTCTGTGTATCATAAATGGATGTGTTTTGCCTGTTCTATGAATGTTTGATATCATGACAGAGTTTATGAAATAGAAACTAAAATAGCAAAAACCTAAATGAAGCGTATGTAAAATGTACTCCACAAGAACAATACAAGTTACAGGGGTACTGAAGGGTAGAGGCGGAGCGTTTCCCGGATGAAGTGTTCAAGATACTCTATCTTCTGTATGTTGTCATAGGTCGGCTCCTCCTGCAACAAAGGTACATGCAACTGAGTGTGGTGCACCTTCACTGAGAAGGGTCAGTCTCCTCGGTATGCTTGTGGAGGGTTATGACCACAAAGTCTGGGTTCTGGCATAGCATTAAACATGGTTTTCAGTGATACCGCCTTATATATACCTGTACTTTAATAAACTTAGGCATATCAAATAAAGATACCAGGTCTGACAAATAAGCTGATAATGTTTAATGCTAGGGTGGTGAGCCGCATGAAATAGGTGACGAAAATTCTGCCGAAAACTCGAAAATTCTCATACATCACCAATCTCTGAGTCGATTGCCTCCACAAGTTTCCTCTGAACAGTGGGATGAGTAGCCAGGACATAGGCCATGAACTGGAGGGACGTGGAGACTGCCTCGAAGCCAGCACCGAAGAAGAGACAAACCTGAGCACAGATTTCATCTGACGACAAACCTTTAACACAGACACGACACAATCCTGTCAGTCGTCGGGAAGATGTTGACATCAATTAGATTACGGTAGAATGATGAATATCAACAAGGAAGTACATTTGAAACAGTATGCAGGATATAGTGTAGGAACCTTGGCTAGCATGGAACTGCAGATGGGTAACAGCCTATATGATACGAATCGGAATCTATGAAAACAACAGAATATTTGTTGCATGTTCAGCTGAAACCGTAATCAAGCTATGATCATTTTGTGTATATCTGACAGTGTCACTGAGGCAATCTCTGTTGTAATGCTATAGTTGCTCACTTAAAATGGTGATTTTGTTACCTGGCGCATGGCCTATATTACGTGATGAATAAACATGTTTACATATGTAATGATGAAATTATTATGTCCTTAGGATGTATACTCACGTTTAGCATGTGCCTTTCCTTGTCCAGCCGTGTCGTCTTCAGCGTCAATCAGAAGTTGCAGAAAATCCATCTTCTTCTACAACAGGAACGATCGCCTTCAGTTTGTGTAGCACTATATGCATGTTCAGTCCTCAACGGAAATAACAGAGACAAGCTATCTTTCAACAGTAAATGACAACACCTACTTCATCAGGCAGCCGTCTCCGCTGTACAATGATACGTTCAGCTATCTCTCTGTAGAAGTTGACGACACTGCTGGTGAATGTGTAGACCCCACACAGTTTGAGCAGAGGTTTAATGGCAGGGAACATCACTGGAGAGTGAGGGTTAACAGGATTAGAAGGCGGGATGGAGAAATGGTTTAGGTTGCCTTTTAGCATCATGTTGACATACTTGTATATCATAAATACTGACGTATTGACCATGGCCTATATATCTAGTATGTCTTCATTGCGATATTGTAAATATACATTGTCAATGAAAGAGGAAATCCGGTCTTGATTATCTACCCAAACAGATTCCGTTTGGCGTAAAGGGCCAAAAAGCTGTGGAAATTGACCACTGAAAAGCAGTGATGACAGCAGATGTTGGAACCAAGGGTAAACATGTACATGTCCTGTCCAACCGGTAGCACCCGCCCTTCACACAATGTGCATACAAAGTAGGTATTTAATAATGAAGTATAGAAAAACTTTTACGAAATAGGTTCGTTTTGCAACACGGAAAAAGTGACACTACGAAAACAGTAAATTAAAAATGTTTTACACGGAATACACTGAATGAGTTTTCACTGAACGTCCAATTAAGGATCTACACATATCTTCCTTTACCACTGAATGACATTTGAAATTACAGCCCTTGTATTCCAGGGGATAAGGGACACAGTTCATCACACTGGCTGTACACCTCAGACAAGAGGGCTTTCCGTACATCCATATAGGAGAGAGTTCATGGCATCACTGTCCGCCAGAGCCGGTTATAGGTAGTCCAGTGCTGAAAGCTTTCCCTCGTCACCCTAAAGGCCTGAGTTTGATTCTCCACATGGTCACAATGTGTGAAACCCATTACTGTGTCTGCCGTAATATTGTTGGAATATTGCTAACAGCAGCCACACACTCACTTACTCATTGTCTGCCTACGTGTATCAGACTCTACGCCCACAATGCATTACAATATAATACTATGCATTGACAATACGTTTTTCGTATTTATTACAAAGTGCTTGCAAAAGTGTTAGTTTTGATTGCTATATTTGTACATGTTCTTGTCCTATCCTTAACGTCAGCCATATTCAGCTGTATCGCTGAGATTAAAGCACCGGTACCGTTATTTGGTTAATGTCAGTGCGGAAACCCTGACTTTGTGACAGTTGCTGCTGAAAATGTCTATCCATTAGCCTTGTCGTAAACGCGATGTCTCGTCCCGCTGAAGCCATGGGGAACATGAAGCCATACTATAAACCAATGTTCCCAATAATGAGACAATGTGTGAATCAATCTCCCCCAACATGGAGACATTGACCCCATTCTGAAGACCAGTGTTCCCAACATGGAGACATGGACCCCATTCTGAAGACCAATGTTCCGCACATGGTGACATAGAGCCCATTCTGAAGACCAATGTTCCCCACATGGAGACATGGACCCCATTCTGGAGACCAATGTTCCCCACATGGAGACATGGACCCGATACTGAAGACCAATGTTCCCCACATAGAGACATGGACCCCATTCTGAAGACCAATGCTCCCCACGTGGAGCCATGGACCTCATTCTGAAGACCAATGTTCCCCACATGGAGACATGGACCCCATTCTGAAGACCTATGTTCCCCACATGGAGACATGGACTCCATTCTGAAGACCAATGTTCCCCGTAAGGAGACATGGACCCCATTCTGAATACCAATGTTCCCCACATGGAGACATGGACCCCATTCTGAAGACAAATGTTCCCCACATGGAGACATGGACCCAATTCTGAAGACCAATGTTCCCTACATGAAGACATGAACCCCATTCTGAAGACCAATGTTCCCCACATGGAGACATGGACCCCATTCTGAATACCAATGTTCCCCACATGGAGACATGGACCCCATTCTCAAGACCAATGTTCCCCACATGGAGACATGGACCCAATTCTGAAGACCAATGTTCCCTACATGAAGACATGAACCCCATTCTGAAGACCAATGTTCCCTACATGAAGACATGGAGTTTATTCTGAAGACCAATGTTCCCCACATGGAGACATGGACCCCATTCTGAAGACCAATGTTCCCCACATGGAGACATGGACCCCATTCTGAAGACCAATGTTCCCCATATGGAGACATGGAGCCCATTCTGAAGACCAATGTTCCCCGTAAGCAGACATGGAGCCCATTCTGAGGACCAATGTTCCCCACATGGAGACATGGACCCCATTCTGAAGACCAATGTTCCCCACATGGAGACATGGACCTCATTCTGAAGACCAATGTTCTCCACATGGAGACATAGAGCCCATTCTGAAGACCAATGTTCCCCACATGGAGCCCATTCTGAAGACCAATGTTCTGCACATGGTGACATGGGGCCCATTTTAAAGACCAATGTTCCCCACATGGAGACATTAACCCCATTCTGAAGACCAATGTTCCCCACATGGAGACATGGAGCCCATTCTGAAGACCAATGTTCCGCACATGGTGACATAGAGCCCATTCTGAAGACCAATGTTCCCCACATGGAGACATGGACCCCATTCTGGAGACCAATGTTCCCCACATGGAGACATGGAGCCGATTCTGAAGACCAATGTTCCCCACATAGAGACATGGACCCCATTCTGAAGACCAATGCTCCCCACGTGGAGACATGGACCTCGTTCTGAAGACCAATGTTCTCCACATGGAGACATGGACCCCATTCTGAAGACCTATGTTCCCCACATGGAGACATGGACTCCATTCTAAACACCAATGTTCCCCGTAAGGAGACATGGACCCCATTCTGAATACAAATGTTCCCCACATGGAGACATGGACCCCATTCTGAAGACCAATGTTCCCCACATGGAGACATGGACCCCATTCTGAAGACCAATGTTCCCCACATGAAGACATGAACCCCATTCTGAAGACCAATGTTCCCCACATTGAGACATGGACCCCATTCTGAATACCAATGTTCCCCACATGGAGACATGGACCCCATTCTGAACACCAATGTTCCCCACATGGAGACATGGACCCAATTCTGAAGACCAATGTTCCCTACATGAAGACATGAACCCCATTCTGAAGACCAATGTTCCCCACATGGAGACATGGAGCCGATTCTGAAGACCAATGTTCCCCACATAGAGACATGGACCCCATTCTGAAGACCAATGCTCCCCACGTGGAGACATGGACCTCGTTCTGAAGACCAATGTTCTCCACATGGAGACATGGACCCCATTCTGAAGACCTATGTTCCCCACATGGAGACATGGACTCCATTCTAAACACCAATGTTCCCCGTAAGGAGACATGGACCCCATTCTGAATACAAATGTTCCCCACATGGAGACATGGACCCCATTCTGAAGACCAATGTTCCCCACATGGAGACATGGACCCAATTCTGAAGACCAATGTTCCCCACATGAAGACATGAACCCCATTCTGAAGACCAATGTTCCCCACATGGAGACATGGACCCCATTCTGAATACCAATGTTCCCCACATGGAGACATGGACCCCATTCTGAACACCAATGTTCCCCACATGGAGACATGGACCCAATTCTGAAGACCAATGTTCTCCACATGAAGACATGAACCCCATTCTGAAGACCAATGTTCCCTACATGAAGACATGGAGCCCATTCTGAAGACCAATGTTCCCCACATGGAGACATGGACCCCATTCTGAAGACCAATGTTCCCCACATGGAGACATGGACCCCATTCTGAAGACCAATGTCCCCACATGGAGCTATGGACCCCATTCTGAAGACCAATGTTCCCCATATGGAGACATGGACCCCATTCTGAAGACCAATGTTCCCATAATGGAGACATGGAGCCCATTCTGAGGACCAATGTTCCCCACATGGAGACATGGAGCCCATTCTGAAGACCAATGTTCCCCACATGGAGACATGGATCCCATTCTGAAGAACAATGTATCCCAAATGAAAACATGGACCCCACTCTGAAGACCAATGTTCTCTACATGGTGATATGGACCCCATTCTGAAGACCAATGTTCTCTACATGGTGATATGGATCCCATTCTGAAGACCAATGTTCTCTACATGGAGACATGGACGCCATTCTGAAGACCAATGTTCCCAACATGAAGACATGGACGCCATTCTGAAGACCAATGTTCTCCACATGGAGACATGGACCCCATTCTGAAGACCAATGTCCCCACATGGAGACATGGACCCCATTCTGAAGACCAATGTTCCGCATATGGAGACATGGACCCCATTCTGAAGACCAATGTTCCCCGTAAGGAGACATGGACCCCATTCTGAAGACCAATGTTCCCCACATGGAGCCCATTCTGAAGACCAATGTTCTGCACATGGTGACATGGGGCCCATTCTAAAGACCAATGTTCCCCACATGGAGACATTAACCCCATTCTGAAGACCAATGTTCCCCACATGGAGACATGGAGCCCATTCTGAAGACCAATGTTCCGCACATGGTGACATAGAGCCCATTCTGAAGACCAATGTTCCCCTCATGGAGACATGGACCCCATTCTGGAGACCAATGTTCCCGACATGGAGACATGGAGCCGATTCTGAAGACCAATGTTTCCCACATAGAGACATGGACCCCATTCTGAAGACCAATGCTCCCCACGTGGAGACATGGACCTCATTCTGAAGACCAATGTTCCCCACATGGAGACATGGACCCCATTCTGAAGACCTATGTTCCCCACATGGAGACATGGACTCCATTCTGAAGACCAATGTTCCCCGTAAGGAGACATGAACCCCATTCTGAATACCAATGTTCCCCACATGGAGACATGGACCCCATTCTGAAGACCAATGTTCCCCACATGGAGACATGGACCCAATTCTGAAGACCAATGTTCCCAATATGAAAACATGAACCCCATTCTGAAGACCAATGTTCCCTACATGAAGACATGGAGCCCATTCTGAAGACCAATGTTCCCCACATGGAGACATGGACCCCATTCTGAAGACCAGTGTTCCCCACATGGAGACATGGAGCCCATTCTGAAGACCAATGTTCCCCACATGGAGACATGGACCCCATTCTGAAGACCAATGTTCCCGACATGGAGACATGGAGCCCATTCTGAAGACCAATGTTCCCCACATGGATACATGGACCCCATTCTGAAGACCAATGTTCCCCA